CCGTTTTTTTCTTTTCTTTTCTGGACTTCACCCATAGCCACAAAATGCCTCCTATTCTAGGGTGAAAGAAGAACTGATCAATTTTCTTTTTTTTGGGGGGGGGGGGGAGGAAAACCTACAGATTTTTCCCATCCATACTGCCCAGCCCTCCCTCCTCGATCACTTCCTGAAAAGCAGAACTGACTTTTCCTGACCAGGAACACAGGCTGGGGTAAACTACTGATGCATGTAAACATGCTGGACAACCGGCTACACAAGCAATTAAAAATATGCTGGGCTATAATTCTTTTTGAGCAGGAAGTATGAACTGAATTTAAAAGACCCATCATTAAAAAAAAAAGCCAGCTAAAACCTTTCTTCTTGGCACGCAAGGTGTCTGCTTTATTTTATTTTTAATTGCGTGCCATCATTATGGAACCATATAGAATCATATACAGTCCGCAGTAGCAAAGGCCAAACAAAGGATAAAAGGTAAAGGTAAAGGTTCCCCTTGACAAGTTTTTGTCCAGTCATGTTCGACTCTAGGGGGCGGTGCTCATTCCCGTTTCCAAGCCATAGAGCCAGCGTTTTTGTCCGAAGACAATCTTCCGTGGTCACATGGCCGGTGCGACTTAGACACGGAATGCTGTTACCTTCCCACCGAGGTGGTCCCTATTTATCTACTTGCATTTGCATGCTTTCGAACCACTAGGTTGGCAGGAGCTGGGACAAGCGACGGGCGCTCACTCCATCGCGTGGATTCAATCTTACGACTGCTTGGTCTTCTGACCCTGCAGCACAGGCTTCTGCGGTTTAGCCCACAGCACCGCCACGTCCCACAATAAACACAGGATAATAATAATAATAATCTTAGAACGACAGAGCTGGAAGGGACCCTATGGATCTTCGAGTCCAGCTCCTGTCAAGACGGCACAGTGAGGAACCAAACTCCTAACTTCTGGCTCCACAGCAAGATATCTAAACCACTGAGCTATCCAGCAGGAGAGGTGGGGGGGGGGAAGTTGTTAATATTCTCAAACTATTCTTATGACTTAATGCCCCTGACCTTGTATTGCAACCTCTAGTCGAGAGCTATCTGGATTGCCGTATGAGGATTACATCAATACGATTCAGCTTTATTTAGAAATTAATTTTCAGTACGCAGTATGCACCATCAGCTGAATTCTATTCGAGCTGGCATACTACTGACCTTTAAAAAAAAAGCTAAGAAAGAATGGCAACCCCCGATGACAGCAGCCGGACAGATGGAAAAGCACTTAGAACGACTGAGCGGGAGAGGGAGGGGGAAAAAGATTATTGAGAACAGAATAGACGTAGCGAGGTCGGGGGAGGCCAGAGATCCTTAAGCCAGCAAAATCAGAAGCAGAAGCCCCAGTGGAATGGAGAGAGGTCGGATTCTGCCCTGCCCACGCTTTGTACCTGGCTGGGGATTAGAAGGGTTTAGAGACTGCCGACAGGAGAACACAAATAAATAGGGGTGGGGGAGCCTGAGAAACCATCAGCAAGAAAATAAAGGGGGTGCAGGAGCTAGAGGTGAACCCGGCACTGGATTCAAGAGTCGTACTTTGGCCAGGCTGATGCAGGCAGGAAAGCAGACGCCCTCCGCCTCCATCTGCTTTTATACCCCTGCAGACTGAGCCGACGTTTTTATTTTGAGTGCGCGCTTGTAAGAAGCTGCAGTTAAGAAGATGCATCTGCTACTTCTATTTCTAAAGAAAAGGACGCCAATTGAGTGACATGAGGAGCTGGGATACCTGGCCGGATTGTGATCACGAGATTACAGCAACTAAACTGGGGGGACCAGAATATTGAAACTAACTCACTATGAATCTGTTACGGCCTCTGGGTGGGAAAAAATGGCAAACCTCAGTGAAAAATCAAGTGGAGGTTACATGTGTGGGAATTTTTTTTATTTTTATTTTTTGGAAGAGTGTTGTAGTTAACGGCACACCCGGGAAAACGCATTCTTTAGGCGCGGGCCTGAATTGTGCCCCTTCCTGGATCCCTTTGCTCCTGGAGTGATCTGTTACTCCCTACAGACTACTATGTTCTCGTTGTCAAGACCTACTCTTCCCCCCACCCACCCCCGGACATCCCATACCTTGCTGGTGCAGTTATCCTATATTTCGAAGCATTGATGGAAGAAAGGAAGAAGAGAAGGGGTTGAAACCAGGAAAGGGGGGGGGGAACACACATTTAAACAGACATGGCAGATTCCAAAGATGTACTTCCAACTTCACTTTTGCTAGGAACCCAGTTATTTTGCATTCCCCGGCAACCCAAATCCCAGCAGAAATGCTTGCAACCCACTGTCCAATACTTGGGCTTATGGGCACAGCTGTGAAATACCAAGAGGGCCTGGCCACAGATCAGGATCATTCAGGGCCTGTGGCCCTTTGGATGGGGATGGGCTCTGTAGCCCTCCTGGCTAACAGTAAGGCTCAGCAGGAGCCGTTAACATCTGGAGGGCCACAGGCTACGAGCCACAGGGAAGGGAAAGAAACCCAGGCACCTCAACGTAGACCAGGTGTAGAGGAGCCCTGATCCCCCCCCCGATGCTGCGGCTTTGACTCAGGACGCCCACCAGCCCTTCCCACTATGGCCAGTAGCAAAAAAAAAAAAAGGCAGAATTTGTAATCAACAGCATCTGGCATGTCGGACATTCCCAATCCGAGGCCTGGAGCATACTCAATCCGACATGTTAAAGGTTCTTTGGAGCTGGGCTCCAATGTACCAATCCCTCCGCATTGGGAAGGGGAAGAAAATAAACAATCTCTGTTTCTCAGGCTCTAGACTGCTCCGAAGCTTCACGTAGGCACGCTGAATAACCCACGTATGTGATTCGTGGAGGCCACAAAGAAGAACAGTGTACATCAACACAATGACACCCAGTCGTTTCTGCCAGCGGCAGCCGCCCTTTCCACATCTCAGAGGGATACTAGACCCAGGTAGGGCCTCCAGAGCAGAATGAACAGTTACTTTTCTTTCTTTAAAGGGTATTAAAAATAACCTGGACCTACCACTTCTGCCAAAGCGGAAATCACTTTCCCCAGCGTGGTGAGAGACTTGTTGATATTTGCTCCTTCCTGGAAACAAAATCAGAAGTTTGGGAGGGGAGCGGCTCAAGATATATTAAGACACTTCAAAAGAATTTTTAAAAGCTGTTCTTCCTGGTGCAAGGAATTAGAAGGAACATGGGACTTGTAGTCATACAAAGATGGGAGTCTGTTCGGTTCTGTTGGTCTTCTCCTTGGTCTTCCCCTCCTTATCTTGAGGCCGGGCAGAGCAAACTTGGAACAACAATCCCACGAGAACGTTCCAGTGGTTTAAATCCAAACTGCACAGAACCGAACAGACTCCTATGTTCCTTCTAATTCCTTACACATGGACTGTGTTTACTTTTCTCATTTTTTGCTTTTGTTTCCATACAATGAAGGCCATACCTTTAACCGAGTCCCTTTGGCACCCGTGGAGTCTGCCCGCTCACTTCCTGCAAGATCGACCAGGCTGATCTTGCTGACCTGGACAAAGAAGAAGAAGAAAAAAAGCAGGATCCGGTTAAGCACCCGTTCATCACCTACGTCTCACTCCCCGGTCCTGGGACAGCTTTACCTTCTCAGTGGAAAGATCGGTTTCCGCATCGTGTTTCTTCTGGGTGAACACGATTGTGAAGACGGCATGCGAACGGCTGCTGGTCTCGTTCATGTTGGTGGCTGCCACCGTCCTTTTAATAGAAAGAGGAAGAGATTAGCTTTTTTTTCCTATTTAAAACAAATCAGGAGAGACAACAGGAAGGGCTGCTCCTAAAGGGTGGCACCTCTGCCAGCAAGCAGCTCCAAAACCCGACGCTCCGGGTAAGCCCGCTTCGGCAAACACAGATCTTTAAATATGGACCTGGGTGTAGCTGAACTCTGCCACCCCTGTGATGCTTCTACTGTAAGCGATCCGAGTTGGGGCTGATGGGACAACGTCTGGAGGGCCACAGGTTGCCCTGGTTTGGGGGCCAAGCTGCCCCTACCTGGTTCTTCACTCCTAGCTAGAGATCCTGTTCCCGCAGCCACAAATGTTATGGCATCTAAGCTTCAGAAGGATCTGGTTCAGCGCGTCTGTCTGTCTCGCTCTCTCCACATCAGGATTCAGGCACCAAGTGAAAGCTACTCTTCTGGCACACATGAGTAATGAAAACTCTTCCCCCTCATTTTCTAGACCTCCTTATGGCTTCTAATGGGACAATCTGTTATACTGCATTTCCTTTACTTTGTCCATTTACCTTCTTTCTCGTTACCACCGCTGAGCTCCTGTCTACCTACTTGCTGCCGATTCCTTGACTGAGAAGCTGGGGTACGAATAGCCAACCAATAAGCTGGGGTACGAATAGCCAACCTTGGGCTGCAGTCTGAAATGGCCACCTGCATTTCTCCTAACGCCCATCTAAGAAGCAGACCGGACACAAAGCTCTGCCGTGAATTTTGGGGACACTCCTTTATAATTTTTTTCCACACTATCCACAACATATTGGTGCATGGCCTGAAGCCATAGACGTGATCCACAGAAAGCTTGACCGTTTGATGATGGCGGTATTTTTTAGTGGTCTATTAAAGGTATCATGTACTCCTGAATTTGTATTGCTTGCCAAGAGAAGCAAAGGATACTTTTGGGGGGGAATAAGCTGGCATTTGAGCACGGGGCCACTTAAAAACAAGGGAGAGAGGGATACCTCGTACTGCATGTCTGAAATAAGGTGGAACAGACCTAGCTTTGTTTCCAGCATCCATAAGGTCAGCAATATCGGTATAAGAGGTGACTGCAAGTTTGGAAAGGTCTTCCACATAAGGTCCAAGCAGGGGATGCTCTCGGACCCGCAAATTCCCCTTGTTTTTGGGGTTCAGCAGGTCTCTGACCCTCTCGCAGTAAATCTCCATGTAGCTGACCTGCAAGCAAAGGAAGAAAAGCAAGGCTGAAACGTCGAGTTCTAGGGAGGACGCCCACAAAGAAGCACCACGGTAAATGATGTGAAGGACCACATCTCTCTGGCAAAACAAGCAGTTAAAGCCTGCTTCCCCCCCCCCAAAAAGAAACTGTTATTTAGAAGGCTCCATTATTTCAAAATGACCTTTCACAGCCAAGAAATCAATATGCATTTTGAGAGCGCTCCAGATCACTCTCCGGGGTCTTTTTTTTAAAAAGGCAAAGGAAAGGAACTTGTATCCATGCAAATGGCCATGAGCTAATGTAGCAGTGGGCGATCTGGGGGTTCAAAATACTCTGGGGTTCGGATCTGTGATCAGGGTGATGTATCCTTCCTCTGGCAGTCTACAGGGCAGGAAAGAAGATGAGAGAGAAAAGGCAGCCTTAGGAAAACAGAGGAACGGTGGTGGTGGGGAAGGTGACCTGCCTCCTTGAGGCTCCAAGCTCCGCCTCCTCGAGCCTTCTGATGCAGCGGTTAAACTGCAGTACTGCAGCCAAAACTCTGCTCATGACCTGGGGTTCAGCCCCAGGTACCCCGCTCAAGGATCACTCAGCCTTCCATCCTTCCAAGGTCAGTAAACTGAATAACCAGCTAACAGGGTGGGGAGGAGGGGAACATGTGACCTGCATAATTAAACCATCCAAGGAGCACTTTAAGCGCTATAGGGCAGTATATAAGCAGCACGCTTTATAAGGCGGGGTCAGTGGTCAAGTCTGTGCCAGAAAACCCCAATAATGTCCCGCCTCAAAACCTCCACATGATGTTGCAGCTCAATGGTTAGAATCTTAAGTCACATGGCCAACGCTCAGGAATTCTGGGAACGGCAGTCCATCAACATCTTGCCTTCTCCTGGTATATTGGTTGATTTCACAACTCCTCCAGGAAGGGGAGGGGGAAGAGGGCAAATTTTTACCGTGGAAGCTGGGGGAGCTGATTAAGGAGTTGCCCCCACTGCCCCCGTCCAAGGCAGGCCCTGGGGGTCTTCCTGACTCAAAAAAGTATCAGGTCTCAAAAGGAGAACTCGTTCCCCACCACGCCTGCCCCACCAGCTGATCTGGCAGGTTTTAGAGGGCTTAGCCGAAGCCTCCCATCTGCCCGTCCAGGAAGGAGGCCCGACGAAACATATGGAACAAAGGCATGTGGCGACGGGGCTATTTTTACATAGACTGCCTTTTCATCGCTAGCCAACTATGGGCACACGTCCTCCTAAGCAGGTACTTGGCCGTCAGCCCGGACGTGGTCACGGTGCGTCCCGTTGACAAGAGGAACCCGTTTCTTCAGACGCAGCTCCATCCATGATGTGGCCTTTCCGGTCCCCACACTCATGGGGGCGCCGAAGCCACCCTGGTCCTCCTTCCAGCTGACCCTCAGATGCAGCTGTGTCTCCTTTCATCACAGTTAAAGAGGCTTTTCATGGCTGCATTTTTTATTTTTTATTTTTTGGCCCAAGGAAAAAGCCGCAACCCAGCACAACCCTCGGATGTTCCACCCGCTGTGAATCACTCATTCCCAGCTGCTTCCTAAACTCTGTGGCAACACAACTGCAATGCAAGAGGCCCGGATTGGTGGGTGTCGGGGGGGCCAGCGGGCATCTAGGATACTCTTTCCCCCTACCTGGTCACAGAGATTGGGCGCTGCATGTTAATAAAACAAAAAAGAATTGTTCTCTTTTAACAAGGTTTTATTTATTGCTTAGTCCAAATATTTTTATCCTGCCTTCCTCCTTAAGAGGACCCAAAGTGGTTCCACCTACAAACCTGCGCTTACACAAATGTCACAAAACTGGGGACTGCCAAGGCCACTCACTGAGTGAATTAGTTCTTCTTCTGCCGCTCTCTGCTCTAGGGAACCCAAGGTGGCTGGCTGGGCTTGCAAAAATTAAAATTGCACAAGAATGACAAGTTTAAAATACTATACAAAGCTATGTGCATTAAAAAGGCAACAAAACGTTGCTGTTGGTTGAGATGAAATGCATTCCGTAAACCTCCACTTATGGCTTAAAAGCCTGCCTGAAAAGGAAGGTCTTCACCGGACGACAGGAGGAGAAGAGGGGCCATTCCTCTAAGTCTCGAGAGCATTCCCTAAACCTCCACTTATGGCTTAAAAGCCTGCCTGAAAAGGAAGGTCTTCACCGGATGACAGGAGGAGAAGAGGGGCCATTCCTCTAAGTCTCCTCCTCAGAATTTAAAAAAAAGGGGGGGATCTTTAGCCCCAAAATGTACAATTCTGCCCCAGGAGCCTCCAAGGGGGGCATCTCTGATAATTTCTAGTTTGGTTGTGGCACACAGCGATCCAGGGGTATGATGGAAAATATAGGAAGGACAGCTCGGGGGCCCTCTGCTGTCACACCCAGCCCTGGGAGAAGAGTAAAGTCCAGGCATTAACTCAGATGCGAGATGCAGACTGTACTGACGGCTGGCAGGTACACAGCCATCGAGCGACACTTAGCAATGCTGACAGTCAAAACAATAAACAAAGTTGCCTCCAACTTAAAGATCTATCAATTCCTCGGGCAAAAGACACACGTTCTTGCGTCTATATTAGTAGAAGCGCAGAGCAACCAGACACTACTCACACAAAACACACCCTACACACTCACCTCCACGGAGTAAGACATTTCCTCGTTGCTGTTGTCATTGATCTTCTCAAACAGCTCCTCACAGAGCTATAAAGAGATTTAAAAGAGCATCAAACGACAACCCAGCCAGAACGATGCTGTGACGCTCAATCTCCTCGAGACTTTTCCAAATACACAGGGACTAGCAAAAGGCCACCAATTTATTCCCACCCACCCAAAACTCACTAGGCGACCAATCCACTTAGCATTATCCCAGCAGCAATTGTACCCAAATTCATTAATCTGCTGTGTTTGGGGGCAGGGGAGGTGGGAGGGGAAAAGCTTCAAAAATAAAAGCAGCAAGCCGTACAAACTGAACTAAGAAATGTAGGTTACAAATCCTAGAGGGGAATGATTATGTTAAATCCTCTCTCACCCAGCTGTAAAAACATTAAAATTACAGCTCAGATTTCAAAGAACCTTTTGGAGTTTAGCTGCTTGCTTGGAACAAGGGGTCTCCATGAGCTGGGATTTTTCAAGAAAAGTAAACACAGTGTGGGGGTTAGCTGTGTTGGAAACAGCTCCAAATCCCCTTCTCTGAGGTTTACAAAAGGGGAGCGGCAACTCTGAGGATGGGGAACTAGTTCCATCAAAGGGCTGAATACCGTTTCGGAGACTGTTCTTAGGAGACTGGATTCTGGTGACAGCCAGACCAGAGGAAAAAGGGGGTGAGACCCAAAAACCAGCCCATTTTCCTTTAAACCATCAGTAATCAAGCATTAAGAGAAGCATTCTAACTATTTAGGTTAGGGAACACACTGTGGAATATTGACCATCTGAAGACATTCACAAATTCAACTCCAGGGCCTGCGCTTTCTCATTCCTTAGCTAGGCTCAAACCTCGGTCTGGTCCAATTTTAGAGGCAGCACTTCAAAATGCATTTGGGATGAAATCAGGGCTATTAAACTTTGATTTGGATAGGAAGCAGGGAACCCATGACGTGTCTATAACCCTCCAAGACGCTGGCCCCTCCTGCCCACGTGTGTGTGTGTGTGGGGGGGGAAGCATCCAGGAACATTTTGCACAGCCGAGCAACCCCGAAGCTCAGCTTACCTGTGGTATGATCCCTGCCTGGTTCTCCTCCTGCTTCCCCATCATGGTGTAGGATTTCCCTGCTCCGGTCTGGCCATAAGCAAAGATACAGACATTGTAGCCTTCAAAGGCGTGCAGGAGCATCTCCTTCCCGATGTCATTGTACACACGGTTCTGGGAGGCGAAGCAAGGATCGTCGGGCTGCAGGGAGTGAAAAAGACAACGTCAGGACGGACCCTCTTAGGAACGGAACGACTAACAGGAGGGGCGGTTTTGAAGCAGAAGGCAGAGGGAGGGCACCCAGTCCCTGTGACTGGCAGAGGGTCTATTAAGTCTCCGGCAGGGACTCCGCAGAGCCATTGAAGAGCAAACGCCAGTGACGAGTTCTAACGACAGGAGGCACCAGTTCTTTGAGGGCAAACCTTCCAGAGAAGGACAGGGGTACTGATCAGGTGCAGGCATGGGGGGGGGCACCTGGATCGTGCCACATGCAGGAGGGGAAACGTTCCTCCATCAACCTTTCCAGAGGCTGCTAGAAGCACCTGCCAAGACACTGAGAAAGGGGATCCCAAATACTGGCAGCTACTAGTCCTAATCTCTGTGCTGGCCAAGGCTTGTTGCTGCAACCTCTGATCAGTGGCCAGGGACAATATGATCCCCGACTTCAGCGAAGGAAGGAGGCCGGGTACCCTTAGCAGGCGAGATCAGGCCGGTAAGGCTCTTTTCACCTGCATTAGACACGAGGCCAGCCCTGCCATTCGGCAGAGTGAGGCAGTGGTCTCTGCGAGCACGTGGTGGGAGGCCAACTGTAGTCCAGTATTGTAACAAATACACTGGAACGGCTCTCCAGGCCAACATTAAGGCTGGCTTCTGGGAGGTCTGGGTTCAAGTCCTGACTAAGCCATGAAACTGGTTTACTTCGTGATCACGAATCTTTCATTCTCCCTCTCTGCCTGGTCTCTTCCCGCCCCCTCCCCATAGTTGTTATGGGGAGAAGAGAGAAGGAAGAGCAACATACATGCGGTCATATGAATACTGGATGAGAAATACACTTGTAGGTCTAAATCCATAATGTTTGGATCCATAATATAAGCCTCTCCCAACTGCGTTCCTTGAGAATCAAGTGCTCGTAAGCATATAAGAAATGCCCTGCCTTCGCCTCCTACGTCCATGGTCAACCTCGGTGGATTCTGTGATCAAGCCAGTCTCGCTAGCCTTGAGCAGAGACCTCGGTCCCTCCATCATCACAATCCCTGCCTCTCACACTAAGCACTTGGTACTTCAGAACAAAGCATCCAGGGACTATGAAGCGGAAGCCGAGTGCCAGAGGCGCTCATTCAAAGGGCAATTGTGCTCTGCCACTGCTCTGGAGAGAAATCAGGGACCAAAAAAAAAATAAGGCTTCAGAAGGCAAGCGAGTTCAGAGAGGGGTGAAAAAAACAGTGCTAGTTCTTTAAAAAAAGGCAGGAGGGGAAGAGGAGGCCTCCAAGCATGACATAATCTGGAGCATCAGCTGACGGGCAGGAAATTTTCCCGTTGAAGGAATAAGTGGAGCAGATTAACGCTGAACAAGGCAACTGTCCTGCCGTGCTCTCTGTGGAAAACCAAGTTACAACTCAGTTTGAGTGGGTGGGGAGGAATCCTTTTTCCCCTCCACCATCGCACAGGCATGGGGCGCAGAGAGAGAGAGAGAGAGAGAGAGAGAGAGAGAGAATTTTATTTTAAAAACAAACTACAGCTCTCATAAGTCACATGCGCGGAAAGTGGTTCACGCATGTCCCCCACCTGCCCCTCCATTCACATCTCCTAGCGAACCCGTGCGGGAGGTCAGGGTGAAAGAGGAAATCCACAGGAGGGACTGGCCCACAGACACCCGGTCCGTTTCGTGGCTCAGCTCCACGCTGGACCCACCCGTCCTGACTCGGGCTGCCTCGCCACCCGCCACCAATTTCTCCTTCCACGCACATTCCTAACACAGGCCAGCCTTGTCTGCTGTGGCAAAGCGACCCCTGAAGGGGGTGGGACGGTGGCAAAGTGGCCCTTCCCACGAGGGCCTTTGCACAGCAGGAAGGAGGCTCCGGCCGTAGCTCTCCCTCTCTGCTCTTGGCCACCAGCATCAGCTCCACCTCTAGGCTTTGCTGCTTTATTCAGTGGGTTCAGCCTTCACGAGACAGGTGGGGAACGCGGGCTCTTCAGATGTTCTGGCCTACAACTCTCGCCAGCCCCCACCTAGCAGGGCTACTGTTAAGCCATCGTGGTGGGGGGGGCATGGTTTCTAATACCCAGAGATCCAAGGGCTCAGCCATTCCTCTTTACAGAGTGAAGCAAAAGGGCAGCCATGAGCCACTGTACACCGGAAGGAGAGGAACTCCCCCCTTAGCTATCACCCTACTCCGTAAGTAACAAGATCAGCTCTTTTAGAAGCCTGTTCCATGTACAACTCCTTACTGATGTACCTCCACAGACAAACCCGTCCACTAGGGGGCCCGATTCTCCACCACACCGTGGCCTACATGACCGGCTCTACTATCAGAAAGACAGCACACACAGCAGCGACACAGGGCATGCCCTCTACCTTCCAGGTAGAGCAGAGGAGGGAGCCCTGCCCTAAAGAGCGGAATGAAGATGGAGCCCTAGTCCAGCCAGCTTCTCTGTGCAGGGGATGCGAGTGGGAGCCGCCGTGTCTTTTGCCTCAGGCATCAAAATGTCTTGGGCCACTCCTGGCTGCCTATGTCCCACAAAGCTATTGGCTCCGTTATTGCAAGCAGACAACACAGAATACAGACGGTTAAGAAAACAAAGAAAAAACTGCTCTTTGCCTTCTTAGATTTCCTCTGAACATGAGCCAAGAGAATTTAGCTGCTTCAGGTATGCCCATCGCATATGCCTCCCCTTTCTGGACCAACCGACCCTACACCCACTGGGGATGGGGCGAGGCCCTTTTCATCCATCCTACCCTTTTAAGAAAACCCAAAGAGCAGCAAAGAAAAAAAGCCCAACCACGACTGGAAATCAGAAAAGCTTTCACGTCCAGTTTTCACCCATTTCCAGGGTGGGACAGAAGGGTGTAACTCTCCCAGAGGTTGGGGGAGTGACATTGTGTGTGTGTGCGCGCACACACGCGCACGCACGCACACACACACGTGGTTGGGGGAGTGACAATGTGTGTGTGTGCGCGCGCGCACACACGCGCATGCACACACACATACACGCTGGGCCAACCCGCTGCCCTATATCATCTTTATACACACTTGCTCTTTTTTGTCTGGAATTTAATCTCTCCGTTCCCGTGATGGAAAAATGCACTTAAACAGCCAGAGAGGCATCTTGGAGAGCGAAAACCACCATACAACAGACAGGAGAAAAGCAGCTGCAGGAAAAGAGGGATGGACAGGGAGAGGCCATGTGCAGTCACCAGCGCGCAAGCACGCAAGCACACACACACACACACACACTCTTCCGAAATCCAAGACAGTCTCCTTACCGAAGTGTGGGACCAGTAGGAATAATCAAAGCTGAAGGATTTTGGAGGTTCCTTGGGATTCTTTGGATTGATAATACCTGGAGAAAACAGAAATACGGGTCTGTTAACAAAGATAACAGAAAAACGCATGAAACACAAGGCTCGATACAAGAACTACATCGTGAAGAGACATAAGCAAAGGCTACTCGTATTTTTCCAACACCTGCACCCTGGAACACAGGATACGTATAAAAGATTACGAGTCATTTGGGAAAGGAGCCAAAGAAGCATCCGAACTGTACTAAACCCAAAGAGAAAAGGCGGGCTAGGGGATCTCCGATAGCTCGGCCTCTTGCTCCCGCCTGCCTACCCACAGCACGGGCAGAAGTAAAGGACCGGGACAGCTGCCATTTAAAGTGTGTGTGGAGGGCTGAAGATCCCTCAGTCCAGTATCAACCATGGAGCATGACTTGAAAGTAAATAACAATCTGAATAACAAGCACATCAAGGGACCTGCCATTTATTCCGTCTTTGCAATACTGAAGGCGTCACTGAGTTGCCACACGACCAGCGTGCAAGGAGGTGTCCTTTCACTTCTGCAGTGTGACCTGCTTTAGTTGCTTTTATAGTTACGACGTGTACATCTACTGCTCATACCTGGGTTTGAACCGGCAGGCCAGCAGCATTCCAAAAATGAAGCAAAACGTCATCATTTTAGTTGCTTTGTGAGAACTGCAGGAATTGTAACCGCAAACGAGCTACGACAACCCGGATCCTCCACAGGCAGATTTGGGCCCTCCCAGGATGCCTGCGTCGCCCCTTTTATGGGCTCCCGGCCCACCTTCAGGCACTGTTCAAAGTGCTAGGGATGTGGCTCAAAACGCTACACGGTCTTGGACGACGAGGCCGAAAGGAGCATCTTTTCCTACATGGGTTTTTCTGCTTCACTTTACAATCTCCCAAGAGAGGCGGTCCTCTGTGCCCTGTCTTACCCATGTCAACGCTACAGCTGATTTCCTGGGATCAGGCCAGCCATCCCTAATTTGGCAACCTTCAGAAGCAAGGAAAGGCAACCTCCATCGTTCCCAGCCTACGGCACTACGTGGCCAGTGGTCATGCTGGCTAGGGAGGTTACAGCCTAACACATTGAGGATGCCAGATTAAAGAAGACTTTTTCTCCCTCTGTTTCTCTGATGCCCTTCCATTGCGTCAGGAAGCGTTCAAGCTCCCCTCTCTGACACACACACACACAACACACGCCTTGCTTATTTGTTAGTATTCAGTTCTGGCTTGCTTTAACAGCTTGCATTTTGTCATTTATACCTTTGATCCTATTCTAAACAACCTTCCGCACTTAACCACAAGGCAGGAGCTCTCAAATACGTTCAAGATGGAAACAGGAATAGAAGAATGCAACGACCATCTGTATCAGAAAGCACCGAGGACGGTTCTAAGGGGAAAGGGAGCTAGCTGGCGATCCATTCTGCCGATCAACTTTTAAAAAAATGCACACATTCATACATGCTCGATTATGTAAGACCCTTTATTATAACAGATTTGTGAGGCAGTAAATAGGATTTTACTTTTTTTGAAGGGGTCAAGGAAAGGTAGGGCTACTTGTAAAGCAAAAGAGCCACGCATTTGCCACATGAGAAATTCACATTAGGCAAAAGTGTAACATGACAAAAAATAGCTCATCTTGAATTTCAGACTTCCCAGAGCAGCACAGAATTTTCTTTTGAAGTTAGAACCAACAAACCAACCCCCCCTACACACACACACACATACACACACACACACACATCCCCGAGGGACCACAATAATGAAAAGCTCAGGAGGCTCTTGGGAATTCTGCAGCCGGCCTCCGTCAAACCTCTTTTGAAACACATGTTCCAGTACAAACATGAAAAGGCCTTATAGCCTGTGGATTTGTATTCAGATGCTTTAAAAAAGCCTTCTGGAGGATGAAGAGAAGGGCCCACAAAAAGCACTCCCGACCGTTCTGAGGCTCAGTAGCTTTGGGATCACAGAGTAAAACATTCCTCTGTAAATAAAAGATACCTATAGAGCCCACATGGAAGGATTTGAATAGAACTGACATTTTGAAAAAGGGAGAGTCCAACTGTTCTACCAAACTCTTTTGCTGCCATAGGACCACCTCAACCCTGTCCAACCCCCCAGTGTACCTTTCCTCGTCCCAAGCACCCAACCACAGGCGGTACGTGCGCCCTCCCTCCTCCACGGTCGGTCATGGCCACGAACCGGTAACAAAGGCCCTCCTTCATTTCTTGTGTTCTGGCCATCGATGCAGCTCGGGCAGAGGAGTAAAATTCCCACCCTGGCTTTTTCCCAATCGCTGACCAGGGATGAAAGAGAGAAGGGAAGCAAGACAAAAGTCAACCCAGCATCTATCAGAGGGCCGATCTCTCCATCTCTCCAGTCAGGCATCCTGCGGAAACAGCTGGACAAATGTTCAAAGTGGCCCCCTAAGGCTTCTTGACGGCACGTCCTATGTGTCACGCTACATGGACACGGAAAGTGAAACACCGCTGATTCGGAGGAATCTGTTCAGAAATGGGAAGTCCATCGATGGTCTGCACTAAGTATACTTGTTAACCAGAACTTCCATTAACCAAAGCGCAACCTGTAACTAATTTGGTGTGTTCAAGCAATTTTTTTTTCACAAGCGGCGTGGCTTTCTTCTTCAGAGAATCCTTGACTGCTATTCCCAAACGCTGACTTCTGAGCAGAGGGCAATTATTATACTGAACTAAATTGTGCCTCCGCTACAGTTCACAACCTAGATTAACAACCCAGCTTTTCATAATCCTGGTTCATTGGCAAAAGGCTGGTTGGTCAGATATTATTGGTGCAGGAATCGTGACAAACTTTAGAGTGGTTTTATAATGAAACTACTCTTCTTACTCAAAGTTTAATAAAAAGCAGCTTTGAAAAGCGATCAAAACAAATTAGTCTTTAATGCTCTTTAACCAGCCTGTGGATTCCTGTTCCTTCAATCCAAAGCTACCTCCTTGCAGATGGCGGCTTCAGGAGGGAAGATGGAGTATCAGAAATGAGGCAACATCTCCAGATTTTCTTGGACTACAATTCCCAGAAGCCTTCACCGCTAGCTGTGCTCGCCAGGATTTCTGGGAGTGGTAGTCCAACAATATCTGGGTTATCCAAGGTTGGGAACCCCTGTTCTAAGCAGTCTTCTACTTTATTTTGTGATGCACTGGATGCTGGCTAGCCGCCCGTGAATAGGCTGTACGTGGGAACCTGTTCCTTTATCCCAAGCAATGTTCCTATACCACTTACGACGCCATATCTCCCATCGTCCACAAATGCCTTGTTCCTGAAAAGAGCTCTTGCGAAGGTTTTGGACACTACTTTATTTAGTGATGTACTGGATGCTGGCTAGCCGCCCGTGAATAGGCTGTACGTGGGAACCTGTTCCTTTATCCCAAGCAATGTTCCTATACCACTTACGACGCCATATCTCCCATCGTCCACAAATGCCTTGTTCCTGAAAAGAGCTCTTGCGAAGGTTTTGGACAGAGCACAGGGTCCGTGGGCCTCCTCGTTTGGTTTGCAGGCCACAAATAGCAACGGTTGCTACTGCGTTCTCCCGGATGATTCCTTCATTTAATGGATTTGCCTTCTGCTGGCGCTCCTGACTTAGGAACGCTGACCAGCAAGCCAAGCCAAGGATTAATATCGCTTACACTAGCAGGGTGTCACGTAGAGAAGCAGACAGGCAACTCTGGGTAGCAACAGGGGCATCAACACCAGCCATAAAATCCAAACAGAACTGGGGAGCCCACAGCCCCAACCAAAATCACAACATCTGCCCAATCCACTCTTTGACCAGCTCTAAAAAAACAAAAGAAAACCAAATGATTTTTTCCCCTACCAACCTTCTCTAATTCAACACTGCCTTGACTTTCAACCTATTTCTGTAAGAAAAGCAGGAAAGAGGGTAGCAGGGGGAGGAAGATCTGTGGTGTAAAATTAAGACTGATATTCATCGGGACCAGCTAAAGACAAGGGGGTCATCATGCAGCTTCCCAGCTGTCTTCTGCTGACAAGGGCCACTATCCCCATCATCCGTCTTGAATTAGGATGGCACTGCCAGTCCAAGTGGCTTCTCTACAGGGATGGGCACCCATCTTAATCTTTGCTTCAGACACTCTTGGGCCAGCACGAGTATTCATATGAAGCCTCCAATCAGCAAATTCTGCATTCATGTTTTGTTGTGTGTTTTTTTAAAGATGGTTTATTAAGGGGGCAGGCTATTCATCTCCAGCCTGCCGGAGGAACCAGCAGGGGTGTGGCCCCTCTCTCTTTCTCTCTTATTCCGACCCCGTCTCTGCTGCTTGGACCTGCCACAGAGAAGAGACCGTGTGGCCAGGGGCGAGGCATCTTTGGCTCCAGAGAGGAAATCCGTCCTCCTCTCACTGTCACCTCCTATGTTCTTCTGGTGGTCACAGAGGGAGGCCGAAAGCAAGGAAGACGCCAGATGGAAGCTGGCAGCCACAGGAAATCATCTATGAACCACCTTGACGTCTATGAGAGTGGAAAGGCAGCGTCTTCCCACTATGGAGCTATAGGCATTCTGGCCAGCTGTACCCAGTATGGCCAATGCTTAGGTACAACTGTAGTTCTAATCTATAGGCATTCTGGCCAGCAGTTCCCAACAGCTGTACCCAGTACAGCCAATGCTTAGGTACAACTGTAGTTCTAAACATCTGGGAGGGACAAGCTTCCATCACTTTGAACACTTTGAGAGAAGATAAATAAAACATTAAAAAAAAAACAGGCTCTACTATCTTACAAGGGGAACAAATAAACTCGCAATACACAAGACTTCTCAAAAACAACTGCCTGTTCAAAGAAGCAAGTTCCTCTACCAACATCACAACCTAACAAAGGTGGCCTTCTGCGGTCCCGTTTTCTGTATCTATAGCTATAACGTCTTCCCTTCTGCCTCTTTGTAGCTACAGTTTTTGCAGCTTTAAGCACTGCCGTTCCAGGGTGCCGTACATGCCGCAGGAGAATAAGCGCTACCTCTCCCCACTGAGCCAATTGACTTTCTGAT